AACTAAACTCAATGTAGTTCTAGCTTAATAACAATGATAATCAAATATATAAAAGAGCTAGAAATAGAGTTTAGAAAACTTCTCAATAGATCAAGAGTTGGAGGGAGAATAGTTGGAAGCTCAAACTTCAATAGATGATCTCCTCAAGCTCTTGTTGAATTGATTCACAAAACCAAAACACTCAAATGCTTAAAAACTTATAAACACACTTAAACCAAACTTAAACCTTGTTTAAAACTCTTTAAACTTATTTAAAACGTTTTCTTGGTCACTTCAGAAGTTAGAGGGCAAGGGGTATATATAGGATCATAAGGCAAAGCCCAAAAACCCAAGAAAGCCAAGCAAAAAGACAAAATAATGGATATATCAAAATCTGGAAATTATAGTCGTTATGAGGTCGTCGGTCGACTGAAAAAATACATCAGTCGACTGATGACCTCGTTTGGTGAAAAACAGATTTTACAGAGAGCTAGAATTTTGCGTATCTTATTTTGTAAAATCAATTAAAAATAGTAAATGAACTCCATTAATTGTGAAATTTTGATGGAAGTTTCTAAACATGTAGATGAACAAGTTAGAAAAATAATTTCTCAAATATAACTTCCCAATTGTGAGAAATAATTGATTGAACATAGACATTATAGATACCAAAAACTGCTGAAATATCCAACTTTGTAAAATCGATTTGACACAGTAAAACATCTCCAAAAATCATTAAATTTTGAGGGAAGATTCTAGAAATGTATATGAACATGTTACAAAAAGAATTTCATGATTATCACTTTCCATTTGAGAGAAATAAATTATTTAGTAAACTAGTCAAAAACTGAAAAACACCTCATTGGTTGACACATCAGTCGACCGATGACATCGGTCAACACATCAGTCGACTGAAACAATGCAGAAAGCAAAATGAAGATTCCAGGCATTTTTATCAATCGACTGATAACTTCCATCAGTTGACTGATAACACTGTATCAGCCTGTTTTGAATAGAAAAACTGATTTTTGAAGTACCTTTAAAAATAGCAAATAAATTCTAAAAAATGTAAAACTTTGGAGAATGTTTATAAACATGTTAATGAACATGTTACAAAAAGAATTTTTAGAATTATACTTCATATTTGTAAAATATCATTATTTTGCAAAATAGTCCAAAACATATAAATGTAAACACACTTGTTTTTGTCATTTGACTAAACCATGTTTTGAAACTTTATAAAGTGATTTTATAGACTTAATAAAGTATGTATAAACTAATATTAAAGTCTATAAACAAATAAAACAATATTTTCACAAAAAACACCTATATTTCAACAAAATCAACAAATACGTGTGTGTGATTAATATATGAGCTTAAAGTATCTACACACAAGTATAAACCTAAAACTAAATTACCTAAGCTATCTTGATCTTCGATGAAGCTCTTCTTAGTATTCTTGCGGATGAAGCTTGAACTTGGATCTTGACTTGAATGTGCATTGCTTCACTCCACTATTCCGCCAACCTCCTCTTAATATGACCGTGTAGGCTCAATCCATCCAACCTCCAACATGTTGTTTGCCTAGAATAAATATAAAACACAAATACTAGACAAACAATATTAGATGTAAATTGTTTGCTAAATCACCATCAAAACAAGAAGACCAACACAACTATCTGTAGTAAATTTTAGACAACCTACAAAAGATTCTGCATGATTCTTTTCTTGCATGCATTACATTTAAAGCTCTTTGATTGGTGTACAAATAACAGATATATTCCCCTTTTTATTTCATGCTCTTGAATTGTGAATGATTATATTACACCTTGAATTTTAATATATCAAGGTAATAGTTTACACCCAAATAGTTTTTTTGCTGTTTATAATATACCGCAAGTTGATTTTCACGATAGATTATAGAATTCATGCAAAAAAAATCCATAAAACACAAACATCAATGTGAATTTAAGCTCATGCCATATAACCATTTTACATTGTAGCATAATACTATATTTTGATTGGATTATGATTAATTTTGTTGTAAATATATAAGTGGGAACACTTTTTCATATATATCTGAACATAAAACAAGTTGTCCATGTGCAAAACATGCGTGCTATACCAGTCCGTATTACATATAAAAGAGGATTTTATTGTCAAAACTTTTCATTTCTATTTGTGCCCTTTTAAGTTTGATAGTTCTCAAATATGTCATTAACTGTAGTTAATCATTCACTAATTATATCTAACCTCTTATTAATTTTGCATTTCCTCACTTTTTCAAAACCTTTGGTCACATAACATTTAAAAGTTTAAAATTATCCCTAATTTATCTTCACATAATATTTAAACTTTTAGAAAAATTTAAAAAAAAATCATTAGACTTATGCCTTATGCCTTCAGGTTTCACCTTTTATGGAGGAATACATGTTAACTTTCATCTTAATAGCATTTTTAAAGTATGATAATAGTATGGGAAAAAAATTATTTATTGTAATTGTAATAGTACTAAGAGTATAATGATTTTAATAGTATATTTTAAATTAATAAATTACACTATTATTTTAAATTAATAAATTACACTATAATTTGATAATTATGTAATTTAGCAAACTATTTACTAATAGTGTAATAAACTAATTATGAAATTCAGATGTAGTTACTAATAGTATTATGAGTATGCTATGTATAATATTATTATATCTAAAAGAGAAGAAATTATTTAATATATTATAATTATTTTAATAATGTATGAATAAATTATAACAATTATCCAAGCTATAATTACTAATCATATAGTTCTTTATACACGATTTTATCATACAATTTATTCATTTAAAAAAAATTTATATAGCAAAAAAAATTTATATTGCTATATAAATCATTTGATTATTCTGCCCGTTAACAAAAAAATACATAAAACAAAACATGCATGCTCTTAGAGAGCGCACTATACTAGTTTAGTTAAATTAAGTTTTATTGGGATTCTAAGGGATGTAGGTGCATGCTAATATTCCCCATAATATATTCCTATTCTAACAAGGAAGCTATCATAAACCAACAAAAAATTATAAAAGGAAATTGGAATCCGCCAAACTATTTCCCAATATCAAGAAGTTGCGCACATTACAAATAAACCCCTCCACAAATTCTTAAATTACAAAATATTCTCTCGGCTTTGTAAAATCATCGTGGACAGCCTCCCTCGAAGTCTGCTAAAATCGATCTAAACAATTCTGAAATTACAAGACCAGTCTAGAATATACAGTTTACACCCTAGAATCTATAAAAATTAAATTTGAGTCAAATTTTGCAATCTAGTCTAGAATTTATAGTTCACACCTCGAAAAAATAGTTGAAATTGCATTTCAGCCTAGTTTTGCAACCCAGTGCAAAAATTACAGTTTGACCCCCCTGTAAAATTCAGTTATTGCAGAAATTACATTTTCATCCCTAAAATTCTATGAATTGCGTATTGATCCCTCAAAATGTTGAAAATACAAAGTCAAATTTAAGAAATACAAAAGTCACCGACTCACCATGCACCTCTATGTCCCTAAACTAGATTAAAAAAATTTGGTGAGAAAGAAAACAAGAGAGAATAAAAACAGTTTAAAAGAAATACACCTCAAGATGTATTTGTATAAAAACGTGTACACAGTCAAAAATCAAAAGGCTCAATTGTGTCGACCCCCTAAATCGTTAAGCTAGTTATAATAAGAACATAAACTCTACATATATAACCATAGTATTTGACCACGGGCAATGCACGTGCATCCCAGCTAGTATACAAAAAAGTTCATAAACACTTGTAAAATTGATATTGAAACACATGTAAGGTTATACATGAGATTCTATAAGCTTGGGGTACATCTATATTGTGTGTTTTTATCAAATAAAAAAAAGTGGCTAGGATTATCACATATCTAGTGGCGAAATCAGAAAATTTATTCCAAGGGGGCTAGAATCCATGATGCAAAATTTATTTATTATTTATTTCATAAAAAAGAGTCTTTTCGGCATTTCTCCCTTAAAACTCTAATGCTTTGAAATTGGCCTCTGAAATCATGGAAATTGCTATTATATACATTCCCAAATTCTTAATTTGCTTCAAATTTATCCCTCAAATCTTCAATTGCCATTGAATACCCTCATCCCCATGATTAGTTTGAAGCAACTCCTGAGAAGTAGAAGGCTTAGTAATGATTTCAATGATTTGAGGGACTAAATTTAAAAGAGTTTAAGGCTTTGATGTGAACTAATAACAAATTCAATGATCGAGATACTAAATTCAAGCCCGTTGAAGAAGCTCAACGTTACCGCTGTGCACAATTATAACTAGGGTTTGATAGGTATAAGCTTGCTGTTTATTTTGTTAAATGAGCTATTAAGAGATAAGACGCATCAATCCGTTATGTTATTGGATAAGACTCGTCACACGTCCATCTCTTAGTACCTGATTTAGCAAAGTAAGCTGCCACTTTATTATGTTCTAATACCCATTATTTTCTAATTATTGCGTTGTTTTAGACATTTACATAAATATTTCTTCTTTTTAAGGGTTGTTTTGGAGAATAAATTCAACTCCACAAAGAGCAGAAAGCGTCATAAGATGGGCCCGAATCTATTCTCTCCCCCCTACTTTTTTCTAACCGACTCGGCCCATTTTATTCTCTTCTCTCGCAACCTTTTGTTCCTTTTTCAAATTCTCATACCGTGTGCAATTTCCACTTTCCGCCATAATTAATTCACAAAATTCATTTATTTATTACTTACTAAATCCCTTATATCTTACTAAATTCAGCAAATCAAATCATGAATTTACTTACTCCTTTTATTATTACCCAAAACTTGCTAAACAGTTGTAGCATGGGTATGGATGGACAAAAGAAGGCCCAGTCCTTTAATAAAGAGCCTATATATGATATAAAAATGTAAACGAATGGTTCGCTTCGTGATTTTAGACATCTTTGAGGGGTAATTCAGGGAACATGTTTCCTTTCTTTCTTTCTTCTAGCATTCATTCTGCTTTTTAAAGCTCATTTAGACGTTGCTCTCTCAAAACAATCCTCTGTTTTCTAGCAATCTGAGCATGCCCAGGTTTGTTTTTTCTATTAAATCGATCATTTTTTTCCATCCATAGTTTTGTCTGCTCTTTTTGATCAGTTTATTTTTTTTCCCCTCCTTAATTCATTTGTGGCATTATCCAGTAGAACGCGCTGTATTTCTTATGTTACATTTGATCAAATAAGAAATATCTTAATTGTCATGTGGGTTTTCTATTTAATGTGGATATTGTCATCAAATTTTTCTTTTTTGGTTACTCAGATAACAGAACAGGAATCATCTGTAATAACATCACTTCTTTCTTCAACTAGGAAATTAAAATTTAAGATTATGATTGAATTCGCGATAAATTAATCGGGCAAGGCCCTTGTTTCTTTTACAAAAAAAATTAAATTAAATTATATTCATGAAGAGTTCACTTCCAGAATTCAATACCTTTGAACTCATAAAGAGGTCGCTTTTCATGAGCATCTCTACTTCTCATAACTAGTATTTCAAATTCTTGCTTTTCATGCTTCCTGTGATGCTGGTGACCGTGAGCGTGCGCGTCTCGGATTTTAAGAATCATATGCATATGATTATTTCTATTCATTCTTTTCTTTTGATTCAATTTCCCCCCTTATTTGTTAGAGCTTTAATATGTGTATATCCTCAAAAAATAAATTTTTTTTTCTCTACATGCATGTCTGCTTTTATGTTATACGCTTACATTGATTTCTCATTCTGTTATTTTTGAATTTTTTTTAATTCTCTTTTCAGCTAATTCTTATTTATTACTTGTTGGTGGCATCTTCTTTTAGTTATTTGTATATTTTCAAAGATTTCATATCCTTGATTTAATTTACTGATAAGTTCCATTCTTTTTGGTTTGCCCTTTGGAAGTTCCATTCTTGATTTAATTTCATATCCTTCACCATTTAGTAATCCCTTTCGTTGCACGTAATTAAACTTTTCAAAACATGATGATACGTTTGATTATATTAGCCTATAATTTTTCCACGAGTCTGTTTCTTTTTTTTTTCTTTTTTTTTCCAGGCTGCATCTCTTTTCTTTTCTTATCTTCCATCTTGAATAAATCCTAATTTCCATGTCTCTGTTCCAAATTCATATTTGCGGCTCAAGAATGGTGCAATACTTCATAGCAAAGATTTGGGATTTTAGTGCCTTATTATGTTGAGGAGTTGAATAGGAGATTTGGAAAAGGAAGCTTAAATTCATTTCTTGTCACCGTAAGTATAACTTTCTTCCAAGTCTTTCATGAGTTCTATACTTGAGATTTAAGTAATCCAATAGCCTCTAACATCCTCGTAGAGAAAACTTAAATCTTTCTTCGCTCTGTCAAATGTGCTTTTCTTGGATGGCTCAGATGTATGACCTGCTGCTACAAAATCTTATAAGTTCGACAGAATATCGCCGATATTTCCCTATTGATCCTGCCTTCGACTCGGGTCTGAAAAATTCATAGAAACAGACTTCAAAGATGGGATGCTCTGCTTCTAAATTGGATGAAGAAGAGGTTGTCAAGCTCTGCAGAGATCGAAAGAACTTCATCAAACAAGCAATTGAGCAGAGATATAGATTTGCTTTGAGCCACATCGCTTATATGGATTCTCTAAGGAGAGTCTCCCTCTCTCTCCTTAAATTTGTCGAAGGAAATGAGCATCATGATTTCTTTGCAGATCACTACGCAACTCCTCCCTTCACACCAGTAAAGAGATTGAGCCCTGATATCGTTGGAATTCCTGTGAAGTCTGAGAGAAACACAACTTATGTGATAAACTATTTGAGGTCAGGTGGTAACTCTTCAGTTCCTGTTGAGGAATGGCTCAGAGCACCGGAAACTGGTAGGGTTGAATCATTCTATCCTTCAAGCAATTATGGTGATGATGGCTTTTTCACCTATGAAGCTTCACAAATGAGTAGGCCATTCGCTTCTTCGCCTCATAATAGACCAAGCGATTCAAATTCGTTCTCTCAGAACCCACATTGGGATTTCTTTTTGAATCCCTTCTCATCGTTGGATCAATATGGTTATCAATACAGATACAATGATGATGATGGTGATGAGACTGCGAGGCTAAG